CGCCGAGGCCAGGAAGAGGAAGGTGAGAATATACAGGCAGGCAGGCAGGCACCACCATCCATACACTCATCCATACACTCATCCATACATTCATCAATACATTCATCAGTCAATCAATCAATAATGGGTAGGAAGAGGAAGGTGAGGCAGGCAGGCACCACACTCCCCACCCTCAGCATCCATACACTCATCAATAAATACATTCATCAATAAATACATTCATCAATCAATAGTAGGTAGGAATACAGACACACATAGAGAGACAGGCGGCTTCCTATTATTATTATTATTATTAATAATAATATATTCATAAATAAATAATAGGTAGGAATATAAACAGACACAGACAGCTCACTCCTCATCACCATCAGCATCATACATTCATCAATCAATCAATAATGGGTAGGAATACAGACACACACAGAGACAGGCAGCTTCCTAATAATAATAATAATAAATGTAAAAATAAATAATAGGTAGGAATACAGACACACACAGAGACACAGAGACAGGCGGCTTCCTAATAATAATAAGAAGAATAAATATATATAAATAAATAATGGGTAGGAATACAGACACACAGAGAGACAGGCATCTTCCTAATAATAATAATAATAATAATGATAATATATTCATAAATAAATAATAGGTAGGAATATAAACATCACCATCAGCATCATACATTCATCAATACATTCATCAATCAGTCAATAGTAGATAGGAATACAGACACACACAGAGAGACAGGCGGCTTCCTAATAATAATAATAATAATAATAATAATAATAATAATAATATATTCATAAATAAATAATAGGTAGGAATACAGACACACACAGAGAGACAGGCATCTTCCTGATAATAATAATAATAATAATAATAATAATAATAATAATAATAAATGTATAAATATATAATAGGTAGGAATACAGACACACACAGTGACAGGCATATTCCTAATAATAATAATACATGTATAAATAGATGATAGGTAGGAATACAAACAGACACAGAGGCAGGCGGCTTCCTAATAATAATAATAATGAATAGTAATGCACACAGACACACACACACACACAGAAAGGCATCTTCCTTATTATAATCAAAATAATACACTTATAAATAAATAATAGTAATATAAACACACAGAGAAAGGGATCTTCCTGATAATAATAATAATAATAGATAGTAATACAAACACACACAGAGACAGGTGTCTTCCTGATAATAATAATGATATATTCATAAATAAATAATAGGAATATAAACAGACACAGAGACAGGCATCTTCCTAATAATAATAATAATAATAATAATAATAATAATAATAATGTTATAAATAAATAATAGATAGGAATGCAAACAGGCACAGAGTATTCCTAATAATAATAATAATAATAATAATAATAATAATAATAATATATTCATAAAAAAATAATGGGTAGGAATACAGACACACACAGAGACAGGCGTCTTTCTAATAATAATAATAATTATTATATATGTATAAATAAATAATGGGTAGGAATACAGACACACAGAAAGACAGGCGTCTTCCTAATAATAATAATAATCATCATCATCATCATAAATAATAGATAGGAATACAAACACACAGAGAGACAGGCATCTTCCTAATAATAATAATAATAATCATCATCATAAATTAATATTTATTTATTTATTTACTGCATTTATTGACCGCCGCTCTCAGCCCTAGGGCGACTCGCGGCGGTGCACAACATATAAAAACAGTTTACAAAAGGGCAAAACAGGAAATCAATACAACAATAATACACTATAATCTAGTTAGACTAAATAATCCGCTCCGTCACATCATAGAATCATAACCAATATCGTAATCCGTATTCCGTTCCAGTTGTCAATTACCAGTTGCCGTAGCGCTCAGTTGAATGCCTTCTCAAATAGCCAGGTCTTCAGGCTCTTACGGAAGGACAGAAGGGAAGGCGCCTGTCTGATGTCAGCAGGGAGGTCGTTCCACAGCCGGGGGGCCACCACCGAGAAGGCCCTCTCTCTCGTCCCCGCCAGGCGTGCCTGTGAAGCAGGCGGGATCGAGAGAAGGGCCTCCCCAGACGATCTCAAGGTCCTCGTGGGCTCATAGGCCAAGATGCGGTCCGAAAGGTATTTTGGGCCGGAACCGTTTAGGGCTTTGTAGGATAACACCAGCACCTTAAATTGGGCCCGGTAGCAAATCGGCAGCCAGTGGAGCTGGAACAGCAAGGGCGTTGTATGCTCCCTGCGTCCCGCTCCTGTTAGTAACATGGCTGCCGCGCGCTGGACTAGCTGAAGCTTCCGGGCCGTCTTCAAGGGCAGCCCCACGTAGAGAGCGTTGCAGTAGTCAAGGCGGGATGTGACCAGAGCATGTACCACCATGGCCAAGTCAGGAATACAGACACAGAGACAGGCATCTTCCTAATAATAATAATATATTCATAAATAATAGGTAGGAATGCACACAAACACACACACACACACACAGAAAGGCATCTTCCTTATAATAATAATAATAATAATAATAATAATAATAATATAAATGATAAATAGTAATGCACATAGACACACACACAGAGAGAAAGGCATCTTCCTTATCATAATCAAAATAATAAAGTCATAAATAAATACTAGTAAAATAAACATACACAGAGACGGGCATCTTCCTTTATAATAATAATAATAATAAATAGTAATGCGCACATACATACACACACACACACACAGAAAGGCATCCTTATTTTAATCAAAATAATAGACTCATAAATAAATATTAGTAAAATAAACACACACAGAGAAAGGAATCTTCTTTATAATAATAATAATAATAATAAAAATAATAATCATAAATAAATAATACATAGGAATACAAACAGACACAGAGACAGGCATCTTCCTAATAATAATACATTCATAAATAAATAATAGTAATACAAACAGACACAGAGAGAAAGGCATCTTCCTTATCATAATCAAAATAATACACCAGACACAGAGACAGGCATCTTCATAATAATAATATAATAATAATAATGATGTTATAAATAAATAATAGATAGTAATACACACACACACACAGAAAGGCATCTTCCTTATCATAATCAAAATAATAGACTCATAAATAAATAATAGTAATATAAACACACAGAGAGAAAGGAATCTTCCTGATAATAATAATAATAATAATAATAATAATAATAATAATAAATTCATAAATAAATAATAGATAGGAATACAAACAGGCACAGAGACGGGCATCTTCATAATAATAATAATACAGTTATAAATGAATAATAAATAGTAATGCATACAAACACACAGAGAAAGGCATCTTCCTTACAATAATAATAACACATTTATAAATAAATAATAAATAGTAACGCACACAAACACACACAGAGAGACAGGCATCTTCCTAACAACAACAACAACAACAACAACAACAATAATAATAATACATTTATAAATAAATAATAAATAGTAATGCACACACACAGAGAGAAAGGCATCTTCCTAATAATAATAATAATGATGATAATAATAATAATACATGTATAAATAAATAGTAAATAGAAATGCACACAGAGACAGGCATCTTCCTTATAATTATGATAATAATAATATATTCATAAATAAATAAGCGATAGTAATACAAACACACACAGAGACAGGCATCTTCATAATAATAATAATACAGTTATAATGCATACAAACATACACAGACATGCATCTTCCTTTACATCATCATCAAAATAATAATACATTCATAAATGAATAATAGTAATACAAGCACACACAGAGACAGGCATCTTCCTAATAATAATAATAAATTATAAATAAATAATAGTAATATATATATATATACTCATATACACTGAGACAGGCATCTTCCTTATAACAATAATAATAATAATACATTTTTATAAATAAATAATAAATAGTAATGCATACAAACACACACACAAAAAGACGAGCATCTTCATAATAATAATAATAATAATAAATTTATAAGCAAATAAATAGTAATGCACACAAACATAAGAAACAAAATTCATAAAACACAACATCTATATAAATAAAAATGTAATGTTTGTTTGTGGGATTAACATAACTCAAAAACCACTGGACGAATTGACACCAAATTTGGACACAAGACACCTACTAACCCAAGGAGTGACCATCACTCATAAAAACACTGAAAAACACAGCAGAAGAGACAGAAGAGACTTAAAACCCAAAAAAAATAAAAAATACATTACAACTCATGTGCAAAGCCACATATAAACACACAAACACACATATATACACATATGCACAAATATATGCACACACAAAGCATATACACAGACTGGGCCACAGCAATGCATGGCAGGGGACGGCTAGTAAACAATATAAAAGAGACAGATACATAACACAATATAAAAACAACCATCATGCAACAACCAGTGGCCTGAAATAGTAGCGGTTCCTGGTCATTAATGATAATAATAACAACATGGTGTCTCAATCAAGGGGAATATGAATTAAAAAATATTTATTTATTTATTTATGACATGTTTACCCCACTTTTCTCCACCCCGGGGAAAGGCGGCTTACAGTTAGGCAGCTATTCGATATCTTCAAAAACAATGTATAATTAAAATAAAAATTTAAAATAGAATTATAATGTTAGAATTATAATATGGTTAACAGAATTAACAATATTATCCAAAGTCATAATTTGGGCCATTCCAATAGTCATTGCACAAGATCTCCAAAGTCTTGATCAAAAAGCCACATTCTCATTTTCTTGTGGAAGGTCAGGAGGGAGGGGTTTGATCTGATTTCGTTGGGGTTGGAATTCCACAGCCGAGGGGCCACCACTGAGAAGGCCCTGTCTCTCTGCCAGTCATGCCTGCAAAGGAAGTGGGATTGAGAGCAGGGCCTTCCCAGAAGATCTTAAGCTCCGAGACGGTTCATAGGGAGAGATCCGTTCAGACAGCTAAGCTTGGCCGGAACTGTTTAGGGCTT